TAATCCTTAATTGTTAATTTTTATAGTATAACTATAAGTAATTATAATAGTTATACTTAGTAAATAATTATCAGTACAAAAAACCTGGGTCCAGCTCCCTTCTTATTGTCTAACATTAAATCCTCCAGATAGCATGAACTTAAAAGATTAGGATATCATGGCTTTCCTGTAATTCCTTTATTCTTTATGTTTCTGCACTAATTGTTATTGAATAGTAATTTATGGCCAATTGTAGAGCAGAAAAAGGAAAATATTGTAGAAATATTTTTCATAGCTGATAGAGAATTCTCTATTTACAAACAACTTAGATATGTAAATATAATTCCCTAAGCCCATTTGTGCACAAATACATGTGTTCAAACTTGCTTAACAAGCACATAAGTACACTAGAAGCATCATTTAGAAGTTATAAATCCTGAACTTGAAAACTTTCAGACTTGGTGCAGTTTGGGTCTAACAGCACTGCATCTGTTGCAATAAACTACTGTAAAGTGAATGGCTAGTCTACAAATGACACATAGTTTTGATAGGTATTATAAAAAATTGGTAGTCTCAGGTTAGAGGCAGGGAAAGACTTTAGGTCTCTCTCAGTCTGATAATATAGTAGAAATGAAAGAAGAATGCAGACAATTACATATTATGTCTTTTTTTCCCCATGGATTATGCTTTTGGAGTTGTGTATGAAAAGTACTCACCTACCCCAAATTCAAGCTGATTTTTCCATGATTTTTCACTAGAAAATTTAGTTTCACTAGAAAATTTATGATCATGATCAGGTTGTAGATAATTATTTAGAAGTTATAAGATATAGACTGAACTTTTTTTCACATTTTGAAATTTTTCATCATGACTTATTGAAAAGAACTGTTTCATTTTAATATTTTCTGATATTGTGGCTACTTTACATCAACATATTCATGTGCTTACATCTTCATTTTCAGAAGATTCTTAGTCCTATTCCTGCTGTGTCCACCGTGTTATCTTTTTTCTCCTTTTGTCCTGAAGCTTCTTAAAATGATTGTCTCAATCACTGTCTTAATTTCTCTCTCACACATTGATTTGGTTTCCTAACTTCTCATTCAGTGAAGTGATGCATTAGAACAAAGTGGGAGTTAATGGTAACCAAGGGATCATACCGACTGACCACAGACAGAGCCAGTTCCAGTTTACACCTGTCACAACTTTAAGTACCATATTTCATAACTGTCTGTTTTAAAACATCATTCTAAGAGGCCAACATTGTGGCATGGCGGGTAAAACCACAGCTTGCCACACTGGCATCACATATGGGCTCCAGTTCAAATCCAACTGCTCCACTTCCAATTCAGCTCCTTCTAATGTGCCAGGGAAAATAGCAGAGGATAGAAAAAGTCCTGAGGCTCCTGAACCCATGAGGGAAACCTGTAAGAACTGCCTGGCTCCTGGCTTCAGCCTGGCCCAGCTCAGGCCATTGCAGCCATTTGGAGAGTTAACGAGCAGTTGGATGATCTCTTTCTCCCTCTCTCTCTCTCTCTCTCTCTCTGTGTCTCTCCATTTCTATTGCTCTCACTCTAGCTGTCACTCTGCCTCTGCCTTTTCCTTGTTGTAATTCTGACTTTCAAATAAATACATCTTTAAAATTTATTCCTAATTATAATTTCTATGTTTGCATTACAGGATGCTTGGCTTTAGAGATACAATAGGATAGGGGTAATGAAAATTATATATATATATATAATGAATATATATATAGTGAATATAGTGAATTTTATATATATGTATATATAGTGAATCTTCCTAAACAATCCACAATCATGCTAAGAGATTCTGATGCTCCAAACTACCATTTTTTAATTAATTAATTAGTTCATGTACATAGATTCTCAGTTGCAAAAGCTGTTACTGGTTCATTTTTTTATTTCTTTTTTAAAATGAAAGTGAATAGTAAAACAAAATGGTTTTCAGAAAGGTTCATGTAGCAAACCTAAATGTGTATTATATTTAAGAGACACATATACCCAATCAAAAATATTTGGAAAGTTAAAAAATTAAATATACACAAATATAAAAACAAAAAATTTATGTGGATATATGTATATCACATAAATTGGAATTCAAAGCAAAGATCATAAGTGTGGAAAGGAGAGTACATTATAATTATGATAGTATATGACTGTTCACTGAACTTACTTGCATGCTCTTGGTCAGATATTCCCCAAATAATGAGAAACTATAACAACTTGAAACTAAACTAGGTGAAGAAATGTTTAAAAAAACCAAAGTTGTCTTTTTGGCTTATTAGCTCTCACTTCTAGGCATCTTCTGTATACTCTACTATACCAAAAATATAAATATATAAATATGATCATGACTATTTTCAGGTTGTGGGAATCCCTGAAGGGATATATATTTTCAGTTTGAAGTCCTTTAGTTACCATTCATATCACATTGACCTAATGCTTTGTCTAATATTTTTAAAAATCTGTGAATTTTATATGTGCATATTTATATATGTAGTTATTGTGTACAAAATGGGATCATTGCACAGGCAGCGTCATAATCTTCTTCTTCCATTCAAAAATAACGTGAATATTTTGTTATTTTCTTTTATATTTACTTATTTATTTATTGAAAGAATTAGAGTTAGAAAGAGAGGTTTTCCCTCTGCTGGTTCACTCCCCAAATGGCCACAATGACCAGAGTTAGGCAAGGCCTTCCTCAGGAGACTAGAACTCCCTCCAGGTCTTCTAAGTGGGTAGCAGGGGTACAAACACTTGGGCCACCCCTCACTGCCTACCCAGACACCGTAATGGAAAGCTCTATCAGAAGTGGAGTAGCTGAGACTCCAGCTGGCTCTGATATGGGATGCTGGCATGCAGGCAGTAGGTTAAGCCACTGAGCCAAAACACTGGCCTCTCTATATACTTAAACACCATTTCTCAAACATTATGTCATGGAAGGTGCAATATTATACTCTATGATTTTCTATTATGTGTTTGAGAAAGTAAGTCTCAATTGTACAACACTTAGATTCATTTCAAGTTTCTATATACACAGTACTATTACTATGATTATTTTACAGTATATATATAGTCCTGTTCTTAGGATAAATTCTCAAAAATGGAAGATCTGTCTCAAAGGTTCTACATATTTTAAAATTTTGGAAGCACAGACAATGGGTAAACATATTAGAGCCCAAGATAACTTTAGGAAAGGATCAGTACAGGTGGACAACCAAATATTATGAGCATTGGAAGCAAAACAGTATCACAGGGGCCTAGAGCAAAGACACTGTCACAAAAAGAAGGAAAATATTGCCTAAGATAAGTTACAGGGAATCTTTTAAGATAGCAATTTATCAGAAATTTGTATCTGATAATTTGTATTTGAATCAAAGGTTAAAACCAAAGTAGAAAATAAGTAATACAATCTTGAAATAGGGCTATAATAACGTAGTTAGGAGGATAATAACAGATTAATATTTAGTATGCACAGGAAGTTTGGAGCTTGGAAAGGAACTTAGGATATGGAGTCTCACCACGTTGTCTTACCAACCAAGAACATGAGAGCCAGAGGGGAAGATAAGCCCATTGTTGTCAGCAAGACTGATTCTTATTTTCAGGCTCCCATCTTTATTTCAATGGTGTTTCCAAACATCATGCTCACTCTTCTCACCTCTTACTATTAACAGAAGCACAAAACTCATGGTTTCCAACCTGACTGGTTTTTCTTGTGAATGATTCAGAGTTTTTGAATGCTCTCTCTGTCTCTCTCTCCCTCTCTCTCTCTCTCTAACACACACACACACACACACACACACACACTGCATTATTCCCCTGAATATATCATAATGGTCTACTATTTTGTATGTAATTAGAATGACATCCTCAGCTTGGAAGATCCTGTGTGTGGGCTGACCTGTATCAAACACAGGCCTGTGTGCTTTGAAGGGATGTGAATGGAGGTCCAGTGAAGACTATAACCAACATTATGAACTGTAAAATATGGTATATTCATCGCATATAATTCTATAAATGCAGATAATACAAGCAGTGTCACTCAAGTTCATAATATCTTTTTCCCTCTACAACATGTGCCACCAAGAATATCCCTTCCTGCTATTTAACCTTGGCTGATCTAGAGTTTTTATAGTTTCAAAAATGTATTTATTTTCATTTATTTGAAAAGCAGAGAGAGAATTTCCACCGAAATAGCCTGCAATAGCCAGGGCTGAGCCAGGCTTAAACCAAGAACCCAGTATTCAATCTTGGTCTCCCATGTGGTAGCTAGGACCCAAGTACTTCAGCCGTCCTCTACTGTCTTCTAGTGTGCTCATTAGCAGAAAGCTGGAATCAGAAACAAAGGCAGGACTCAAACTCAGACACTAGTACAGGATGCAGGTGCTCCATGTGGCCCATCACATCTCCACTGACTACATCTCAAAGACCTCGTGAGACTTCTGTAGTAATGTGGCCTCAGCCACAGAAGGCAATTGGTATCGACAGTCACATCTGGAAAAGTAATCTCTGCCAGAATGGCTTTCCGAGACAGGAAAGAGGTGAGATACCCACTCTGGGGCGAGTGGAGCAGTTTATTCACTCTAATGCTCACTCACTCACTTATTAAAGTGCAGCTCTGTATCTGCACTTCTAGATTCAAATTTAAAGAGTTTATGCCAACATCTTTTAACTCCAAGGAATGCAAACTAAGTCACCTTGAAGTCCATAAAAACAGACCTCCTAAAGCTGGCTATGTCTCCTTTGACCTGTGAAGATGAAGCAAATGCCTCTTCTGAGCTCATGTATTGCTTAGGAGAACCTAGTGACATGAATAGGCCCTTACTTATAAACTAGGGTTAGAAGTAAACTCTAAACTCCTTCTTAGAGGTAATGGGGAATAACACTAAATTTCAAAGCCAAGGAAAATTATTGAAAGTCCCAAAGGGATGGAAAATCTTGCCAATATCTGTGCTGTGAACGGTCTCTTTATTCTTTCTACAGGGATCTGAAAACAGACATCTGATGGAGTCCACAGAAGTATTAAATCAGTCTCAAGTATCAGAATTTATTTTGCTGGGATTGACCAACTCCCGAGATACTCAGTTTTTACTCTTTGCACTCTTCTTAGTTATCTATGTGGCCACAATTTTTGGTAACCTTCTCATTGTGGTCACAGTGGCTTGTACCCAAAGTCTGAACACTCCCATGTATTTTCTCCTTGGAAATCTCTCCTTTGTGGATATGACCCTTGCTTCCTTTGCCACTCCCAAGATGATTGTGAACCTGATCAAAAACCACAAGGCCATTTCTTTTGCTGGCTGCTTTACTCAGATATTTCTTCTTCACCTACTGGGTGGGGTTGAAATGATACTGTTGGTTTCCATGGCTTACGACAGATATGTGGCTATTTGTAAGCCTCTACACTACACAACCATCATGAACAAGAAGGTGTGTGTGTTGCTTGTACTGGTTTCATGGCTCTTAGGTTTCCTTCACTCAGGCCTTCAGATACCTTTTGTTGTGCACTTGCCCTTCTGTGGTCCCAATGTGGTGGACAGCATTTTCTGTGATCTCCCTCTTGTTTCTAAGCTTGCCTGCATAGACACCTATATTGTACAGATAGTCATTGTTGCAAATAGTGGAGTGATATCCCTGAGCTGTTTCTTTCTTTTGCTTATTTCTTATAGTCTAATCTTCATAACCATTAGGAATCACTCTTCTACTGGACAATCAAAAGCCCGTTCAACTTTGACTGCTCATATCACAGTAGTTATTCTCTTCTTTGGCCCATGCATCACCATTTATATCTGGCCTTCCAGCAACCACTCTGTAGATAAATTCCTTGCTATATTTTATACTATCATCACCCCTATCTTGAATCCTATTATTTACACTCTGCGAAACAAAGAAATGAAGACAGCCATGAGGAAACTATGGGGAGCCTTTGTGAATTCTAGAAGCAATACTTAGGTTTAAAATGTAACTGCAGAGAAACAGGATAATTTTCAAAATAGTTATTGTATCAACACAAATGAAGTCGAGTAAAATCCATCAAGATTATGGAGGCCTAATATTAAAGAACTTCTTAGGGGCCAGCACTGTGGTGTAGTGGGCTAAGCCTCTGTCTATAGCACTTGAATTCCACATGAGCACTGGTTCATGTCCCAGCTGCTCTTCTTCTGATCCAGCTCTCTGCCAGGCCTGGGAAAGCAGTGGAAGATGGCCCATGTCCTTTGACCCTTGCACTCATGGGGAGACCTGGAAGAAGCTCCTAGCTCCTGGCTTTGGAGCGACCCAGCTCCAGCTGCTGTGGTCATTTGGGGAGTGAACCAGCAGATGGAAGACCTTTCTCTCTGTCTCTTCCTCTCTCTGTCTGTAACTCTACCTCTCAAATAAATAAATAAAATCTTTTTAAAAAATCTTAAATAATTCAAAATAAAATGCCTTTAAACAAAAACTTGTAAAACTGAGCTATAAAAAGTATTAATAAAAGATTTTCTTGTACTTCAAAGGAGTTTAGTAGATGTATATTTATTTTATCAAGGTATTACAATTGCTCTGGAAGAAAGGGAAATAAAGTGAATCCTCAGAACAGCTGTCACATTTTTATGTATAGATTGAATGATTCAACACTATTGTGGGTCCAAAACTGATTCTCTGTCTTCTCAATAATATTAATGTCTGAGTAGGACTCATATTTAGTGGTTCCTAAGAAACCAGTAATTCTAAGTATCTATCTGCGCAATCAAAGTAAAGTCATTTTTTGTTGGCTCAAAAATAAAAATAGGTACCTGTAAGACTAATAATATTATTAGATATACATACATATTCTTCCTACCAAATATTTCAGCTTCAAAGAACTGTGCATCCAACTCCAAAATAAGTTTTCAGAAATACAAATGCTGTGTTGGGAGACAAGATCTTTCTGTGTGTGCCCATGGGCCAAACATCATTTCAGCCACCACAAACAGCAAGTCCCTGTCTTGACTGCAGAGCCATTGTAGCTCAGCATTTAACTATGCTCCCATCTCTGGCTCCCTGGGTGCTGCATCTCACTTATCATTACCAATTGGACAGCAAGGTGTCCTGAACCAAGGTACCACTCCGGTTACTGTCCTAGATCACAAATATGTATTACTTGCACTTGATTCTTATGTCAGCAGCATTCTTCCTCCAAGGGCACCATTCAGAAAACACTCACGCCACTATCATGAGCAGTTTGTCAATCAGACCCAGTTCCAAGAAGGATTATCTCAGTCACAACGTATCCAACGGGAGCAACAGGGACCGGAAGCATCTTTGCAGGCATCACCATTGAAGACTCCAACAACCTTCTACACCACCGAAAACATTCATACCACTAACACCGAAGATCCCTAAAATCTTCTTCCCACACCACTCGGAGCTGCAGGGAGTCTACATACAGCATCCTCACAGTAACCAGAACAGGCTGCTTCCCACTCAGCAAAGGCCTTAATACACCCAAATGGGGTCTTTTCCTGCTGAAACCAGCCTGGAGAGTCTGGAAGAGTTGACCACGGTAACAAAACCTAGGAATCTATTTAAGACAACAAAGAATATGAAAAAAAGATTTGCCGTCACCAAAAGAACACAATAATTCCCCGGCAACTGACTCCACAGAAAGAGGAAATCACAAACTAAAAGTATTCATAATTGTCTCAAGGAAGCTCAGCAAACTTCAGCATATACAGAAATAACTCAATAAAAATAAAGTGATAACCAGAATAACAAATTTAAAGGACACCTGGAAGAAGCTCCTGGCTCTTGGCTTTGGATTGGCTCAGCTCTGGCCACTGCGACCATCTGGGGAATGAACTAGTGGATGGAAGAATTCTCTTTCTCTGTGCCTCTCTGTAACTCTGCCTTTCAAATAAAATAAATCTTTAAAAAAAAGGATAGGATACCAAATTTGCTTCATAGTAAATTGGGTGCTCAGGATGGAATCATCACTCCCTTGCTATTCTCATGGTAAGATTGGACATTCCTAAGGAATGGGGCAGGCATTCTTCCAAAGGTAACTTTTGGGGGAAGCAAGCACCGCACACCCTCAGCTTCCACCAGGACCACCCTCCTGCCTATGAACCCATCTGACTCCTCACATTCCCTCCCCAGAAGAATGGACTCTAACTTCAGTTAGGGATACGGGACTACCATCCCTCTGGCTTCTTTAGCAGGGAAAAGCAGTTCACATGGGTTTTCAGCAGGAGGTGGCCTCTCAGGGGGACACAGTACAGCTTGAAGAAATTGCTTCCATCCAAGGTTTCACATGCATGGCCATCTAGAATTTCACTGTTTCAAGTCTGAAAAAAAACAAATCTAACAAGTAGATTAAACTCACAGGGTCTAAAACAAGGCAGAGTCATTGTTACAGGGCCTAAGGAAGGTGCTGTCTAAACCAGGAGGACGTTTTCCCATTGAGAGGCAAACAGAAACCGACAAAAGGAGGCTTGATCATCAACAGGTGGGCATTAGGGCCTGGCCAGGTAAGAGGCCCGCCCTTCACACGGAGTATCAGAAGAGACATCCTGAGGGAGCTGTGAACCTCCTTAGGGAAGGCACCCTACTGATTTTCATTACCTAGCTGGCCTGGGAGGAGAAAACATTACAAAGTTCTAATGTTGTACTGGTTTATATACGTTTCACTCTTCTCCCTGTTCTTTTTAGAACGACTTGGTGTCACTGCTAACAAAGAAGTCCCCAAGAGATGTCCGTGGCAAATTGTCTCTGTGGTTCTTGTTCCATTTAGACAAGAGAACAGGAAAAGTTCACCCCAGGGACAATGTTAGGCAGTGAATATAACCCAGAATGAGGGAAAACATTTCTAAAGATATTTTCCCCACCCAACCATTGATGTCATCTCAAGCACACTACAGCCAACTCACAGATCTTAGAGATCACTTTTGTTTGGTAAGTCAGCTCTCCTCTCTGGTTCTCTTCGTTAGTTCTTAAATATTTCCGTGTTTGTTACAAGGTTTCTCTCTATGCTTAGAGCTGAGAATGACTTCTTTATCTTCCAACATAGAAGACAATCCATGGGTTTTCCTCTCCTCTCTTATTTGTGTCTCTGCCTACACACTTAAGCCATCATACCCTGGCTTGCAAGATGTGTATTAGCAGGAACTTAGATGGGAAGCAGGAGAGCTGGGACTTGGACCAGGCACTCCAAATGAGATGCTAGTGTCCCAGGCAGTAACTTACAGGCTGAATGCCCACCCCATTTGTACGTCACATTTTCTTATCTAATGAGTTCTTTCACAATGTTGCAATCACAGTTCTTTATCAGCTACTCCATAAGAGCAGCTTCCAGCTATCTTTGTTCAAGTGGTCCTTGTTTTAAGAGAATAAAAACTAAACCAGAGTGTCAAGTATGAGGATATTATTAAAAAGTTCACGGAAATGCATATTATGACAAAAAAGGTATGGATTTGAAACTTCTTTGGCAACAAAATAAACTTATTTTGCTATTCCATTTTACCATGAAATTGTTGAAGAGTCCTCATATACTAAGATAACCACAAACATAGATGTAGAAGTGAAACAGTTTAATATCCAATGAGAAATGATATGAAACATAGTTATTGCAGAAAGATTAACATTCACACAGCATGACAACAAGAAGGCATCGTGAGCTAGGAAAGGAAACAGAACCCTTCCCTTGTGTACCCATCAGTGTATATACCTCAGGAAATTTATTCAATTCTCTGAGTTCTACACGCTCTTTGAAGAGATACAAATAATGAAAATATCACAGAGTTTTAAAGTACTTTATAATAAATCTAGTAAGGAATGAGTGCTTTGTTGCTGTATGATAAGAGTAGCTCAAGTTGTCTTTTTTCTAACTTTTTCAATTCGAGAGTTATCATTAACCTCTCCCCTTTTTAATGAGAAGCCTCTCTGAGTTAAAGGTAATAATTAGAAACATGCTTTAATAGAATGTCCCATTAAGCCTCAGACCCTCTAAAAGATTAATGACCCACCATGAGCAAGAGAAGGGGAAGGTGTAAAAGTTGTTACATCCTAAGTTAGCAGCATGTTAAAACATACTTTGCAGCTGCACATGTTACAGTTATTGAGTAAGTATATGTTAACATGGAGAAAATGTAACAGATATTTTGAAAAAATGGGTTTTTATACATGTTACTGACAGACATTGTTCAGTCGAACCACAAAATTGTTGACCCTGGAAAGAATCCAATTTCAAGATCCAACATGAAAACTGGAGAAAAGAAATTACTAAAATTTATTAAAATGCTTAAGGTACAAGAAAAGTTTAAGTGTTTCCAGTGTATTTTCATTTGAGTCTTCACAACATGTATGTTAGGTTGAGTCTCCTCATTTTACAGATGAGGAAACAGAAACAAAAATGGATTTAGTTCAAGGCCACAAGATGGGGTGGGCATTTGGCCTAGCAGTTAATAGGCTGCTGGGGATGCCCTCATCATACATTAGAGCGCCTGCCCTGAAGACCCAGCTACCAGTACCCTGGGAGGCAGCAGATGAGGGCTCAAGTAGCTAAGTCCCTGCCATGTATGTGGGAGATCCAGAGTGAGTTCCCAGTGCTGTTGGAAGCGTTTGAGGAGTGAACCACCAGGTGGTGGGACATTCTCTCTCTCTCTCTCTCTCTCTCTCTCTCTGTAATAAATAGATAAGTTTAAGGGCTAGAAGGTCAACAAATCATGGACTGAGATTTCAATCATTCTAATTTGAAAATCTATAGTCTACTAATTCTCCTAAATATTGGTTAATATTTATAGAAAAGCACAGTTAATTCACCAATATTTTGAATATTAACACTTATAAAACTGATTTTTTTTGACAAGCAGAGTGGATAGTGAGAGAGACAGAGACAGAGAGAAAGGTCTTCCTTTGCCGTTGGTTCACCCTCCAATGGCCTCTGCAGCTGGCGCGCTGCGGCCAGCGCACCGCGCTGATCTGAAGGCAGGAGCCAG